GTAGCCTCAGCACTTTGCAGGTGTCTGTGGTATTTATAAAGCCATATACAGATAGCAGATTACTTTAATTATACTTGAACGGTGTGGAATATTACTGTCAGGAAGACTTTCTGAGGCTTGCGCCTCTGGGGGATCTGGTATGTAATTATCACCACCTGAGTTTGCCATTACATCATTATCTAAAGTCCTTACTGTCCAGGCCAATGTAGCTGCATGCTGGCTGCAAAGCAGAAAAAGGCGCTTGTAATCTTTGACCAGCCGTGAGCGTTGCCCAGTGCCCTCCAATCCAACCTTCCTTATGGCTGAGCAGTGTTCAGTGTGAGTGACGACCCGAGAACCCATCACTGCTGTCCTGGAGTCAGCCAAAGAGCTCTTTGCAGAGCCATGCGAAATACTCTTCCTCCCTTCATCGAGGTTGAGCACACCTGCCTACTCTGTAGTGCACGACTTAGCTTTGGTACCAAATGGAAATGCTGCACATAGCATATTGTGATACTGCTAAAGTGTAGTCTGTTGGCTAGAGCAGAGGGCTGGGAATCAGTACTTCTTGATTCTATTCCTAGCCTGCCACTTATTTGCTCTATAACTTCTCCAGGATTTCGTTTTCCCATGTGTAAAATGGGGATACTACTACCCAGCTATTTCACAAATACGTGCAGGGGCTTCATTTCTTCAAGTTTATTATTCATCTCAAAGTAAAACACTTTGAGATCCTTGGAAAAAGCAACATATGAACTGCAGAGTATTGTGGCAATATTTTTTTAAATGTGACTTCTCACAGCCTGAGACACACCAGTCTATGAATAGAGTACATTGAAAATGCTTGAGATTTTTACAAATAGCTACATTATGCAGCATAGGGCTGCTTTGAGTCGGAATGGGAGGTGAGGACTATCGTTACTCTGAATACATTTTTATTTTGTTTAAGATACAGATTGGTGCTTTATTTATATTCCAGGAGAATGGACTAAAGTAGATTACTTAATAGGTCTTTTCCCATCTCTAATTTCTGTGATTTAGAGAGCATTTCCACAGTGCCTCATGGGTATATTATACCTATATTATTTTCCTTAGATAGGGTTTTCCATTTGCCATTCAAGTTCAGGACAGAATTGTTTAGCTTGGCCTTATGAGCCTCTCAGTCAGAAATGTCTGATGCCCGTCAGAATACAGAGAGTTACCTCTGTGCTATTAAGTACATTTAAAGAGCTTCCCTGGTATAAATTCAGGGCCATTTCGGTGGTGCTGAACAGAAGCACTAATGACAGCAGTTAGCAGCAAAGGTACATTTAGCTATAGAAGGATCACTACCACCATTGTAAGTACAGTGTACTCTATAAACAACCAAAGGAAATTTTTCAATCAGTTGACTGCTATGGGATTTGCTACATCTTAACTTTCAACCCAACTGTTCTGTTCTTTCAGTGTAGCCTCAGACTTCACAATACCTTCTACATGAAAATAAAACAATGAAAAATCCTGGATAATAGCATTACACAAAAAGCAGCGTTCTATGGCTGCAATGATTACTATGCTCCTATTTTTTAGAATGACCTAAAAGAATTCCCATACAGAATCAATAATAACCCTAGGACCTCCTTGGCTATTCCACATTCTGGGCTATATCAAGAAAGACTGGTAAGTCTATTACAGAAAATGAAATGGCCCAAATGCTGATATCACACCATATGTTATGGTGGAAATAAGGTGTGGTACTGAATTCAGAGGAGATTAAGGGCCTACTCCTGCTCCCATTGACTTCAGTGGTAGTAAGATCAGGCCCTAAAAGCAGGTAAAGAGAGAAATTGTTCTAATAAGTTCCTGCACAAATTCTGTACAGAAAGAAGTTAGGTTTTCTAAAGCAAACACAGCTCCATTAAAATGTGCAGCTCTGCTAAGGTGAACTTAGGTATCCAACATGGCAGGAAAGTAACTCTGTCCTCGTAAGCAGCACCCGACTTTCAACGTTAGATAGGTGAGTGTTGAAATGAGGAACCTACCAAACTCCATTAGCAGCAGGAAAAGGATCAGAAAGGAGGCTTAGGAGACGGAAGAGAGAGACCTAGGGCAGCAATGTGGACTGCTGAAAGGACAGAAATTTTTTTTAGAAAACTGAGCAAAGAACAACCTGGAAGGAACTAAGCCTTGAGCCTTCAAACCCAGGGAACTAGCATTCAGAGGTTTGATTATTATTTTTAACCCACTGTAACACAAAATGGGAAGGGTCGGGCATGTTAGAAAAAAACACTTGTTTAATTTTTTTTTAGAATCAAAATAATTTTGCTTGCAATTTTTTTTTCTAAATGCAAATCTAGCCTAGCATCCTTCTTATATTTCTATAGTGTTCTAGAATTTAAAATACCTTTTAAGATCCTCCTGTCCCTGGTCAAAGAGACCAAAGGAATGATTTTTATGTTATTACAGTAAGCGTAAAGGAATGTTCCTTACTATTATAATGTCCACATAAATGTAAACTTCTGCCAGTATTATTTGCTGAACCTCAGTGTACTTGGGTCTGTACAGTATATAGACCTGCATTATTCTGAACTAATTTTGAAAACAAAAGGCAAACTTATGAATTGTTCTAGATTCCAGCACACTTAGGAAACTTACTTTACATGTTAACATACCATATGTTTTCTTATCCATTCTGCTCTGTGCCACAACAGTTGAGTTTCCAACAAGTTGGTTGATGCTTTTTAAAATGGTGTTAGACCATCATTCTGTAATTGAAGAGAGCTGGAGCAACAATCTCAGATTAAGACATGCACACAAATACACTTCACAAGTTTTATTGTTTAGCAAAGCACATTACCTTCATAAACATGCAATCAATCTTAAATACCTGCTTTTATTAACTTTATTGTCATTCATGCTGTTCTAATCATATTAAGAGTGTCTCTTTGAAACTATAAGTTAAGGGAAGTTCAAACGGTAGATGATATCTCTTCTTCAGCAGACCTATTACTTAAATGTAATTAACCTGTTTTTAAATTGCTTAAGCATGAGGAGGATTTTTCCACTCCATATGTAACCTAGTGCTGAAGGCAAAAGGAGAAATTCTGACCCCAGTTACATTAGTATGAGCCCACTGGGATTTCTTGGATGTTTCCAGGACACAATTTGGGTCATACTTATTTTCAATAGCATGCAGTTAATACTTGGAGGGGTTTTTCCCCTTCAGATCTTCTAGACTGTGGGATTGGCTGTGAGATAGTCAGAAGAAAAAGGACCCTTTGAACAACATCACCCAACATTTGTGTTTGAGTTAAATAGATATGGCTGTTCTGATGGCAAAAAAAAGAGCTTCTTGCTTTCATATCCTCCATTCTTGGTGCCACTGTTTTTTGTTTTTTTTTTTTTACTTTGCCTGAAGAATTTCTAGAGTAGACATAGCCTTTAGAGATGTGGTGCCCCTCTTTACCCAGGCTCAAAGGGGTAGACTGTAGAGGCAACAATTTGAAGGAAGCTGCTGTGATAGAAGATGCTGGTCTCACCACACATTATGCACTATGGTGGTGGTGACCCCTGGATCAAGGCTTAAAGATGTTTCCAAGTCACATGAGATCTAAAATGTACATTGTCATGCTGTTACGTTCAGCTTTTGGGCTGCCAGCCTCCATGACATTATGTCCAATACCCATTGTTTAAACAGTTGTTGTGTCTGTTACCCAAGTGAAAGCACTAGGACCAAAGCACTTGACCTTACACCCAGTGAACTAAAACTCATTAGAAAAGTGCTTGGATCTCAGAGCTATATCCTGCCAGCGTTCCACTCCTGGGATTTACAGTAACATCCACAACAGACCTGGGCCTAATTTAAAAAAGTAACAATGTACCTGGACTTTAACTGATTAAAAGTCAAATTTTAGAAAACTAAACAAATATTAAATCACACAACTATAGGTTTACAGGAACTAAGAAACTTAAGTCAATTCTAAGCTACTCTGCCCTGGCAAGACAATGGACTTGATAAGTGTATATGTCAGTCTCTTCCATTTCTATGACCCTCTATGAACATTATACAATAGTATCACCCACTGAAACAGTAATGATGGAGGGATAGGCCTTTTGGTGGGAGGTTTAATTACCAGCTGGGAAGATACTGGAGACAGCACAGGTAAGTCTGGTCAACGCAGTCACTCATAAACCTGCAAGCCAGTGCCCTGTGCCATGGAAGTTCTAGCTAGCTCTAAGAGGATGAATTTGATGAAAAGGAGAGGCACATGAATCTTCCTTCAGCTGTTTCAGCTAGTACAAACAGGACATGCTTACAGACATATGATGCTGTAGATCAGTCCAGTCCCTTGATTCATCTCTCTCCCTTTCATTCAGCTTGTAACATGCAGTCTTTTACAGTGCATATTTTATTATGTCAAAGCAGAGAAGACACCATCTCACTACTGAGTTAATGGCAAACAATAAGTAACACAGACAACAAAATATAGCCTTGGAGTCTTGTTATTCCATACACAAAGTCTTCGTTTAGAGTGTTCTCTAAAATCACATACATGGTGACCAGACAACAGCCAGTATAAACTGTGCTGAAAATTTCTTCTTTATTTTTAGGAAACAGATTATAGCTCAATGAAATCAACTGGGTATGGGATTTGAAACAGCTCTCCTCTCCTGGGGCCAGATAATGGCCCTAACTTCCACAGCTGGGCTGGAGTGCAAGGAGGAGGAAGACACACCCCCACACCCAATGTGCTGGCCAGCATAAGGTCTGGTTCAGCTTAGTTCTCCTCTAAGGAGGCAACCTGTGACCTTTGGACTCCGGGTCACCATTCAGAACTGGCCCAGCACAATTACATGCTGCACCTTGCTCAGGGAAATTGCAAGGCTACAATCTGTCCCTAGGAATTGTTCTGCCAACGGTTTGGGCAATCTGAGAAAATGAAGAATTAGTGATAATTTCATTTCTCCTGTGAGCTCTGTGTGTACAATGGCTAATACCATTTTAAGGCATTGTTGTTAACCAGAAGTAACCAAACAGAAAATCAACGAGATACCACTTTATTTTATAGGCACTTCTATAACCATATAATTGCTTTGTCATTAATATGGCAAACTCCACTGCACATTTCAAAGGACACAACAGGATTTGGTTTTACTGCCTTTGATACTCAAGGGATCCCCGATGCAATACAAAGCATTGACTTAGATACAAGTGCAGTGACTCTTTGCAAATTGAGCATCCATTGTGCACTCAGAAATAGTTCTCACACAGCCCTGCATATTAGCACATGCTGTTTTCTGATTTCATGAGAATGTGCTGCTTCAAAAGAAACAACTAACCAGATAATTACATCCTGCAGGCCTAACTCAGTCAGAGTTCCCAGAGAAATTGCTGAATAAGACTGCAGGATTTGGTCTTTGGTGACTAGCCTCCATATTTAACATACATCATGGTCAACATTTGCATTGCAGATGCAAGAGTACATGGTTAGCTGTGCTCTATAAAATGAAGGATTGTATTAAATAGATTATGAGATTGTACAGAAGTATTATAGATTATTAACATCTACTTTTATTATTAATCATCATTATATGTCACCATAACATTAGTACTTCAGGGTAAATGCTGCAAACATACAAGCAATTAGATAGGCAGAGTACTGGGTAGATTAAAAATGCCCAAATCTCTTAATCATTCCCCAAGTCTTTGAGTAAGGCTGGTGGTCAGCAGATGATAAATGTTTTAAGTTAACAATCCGAATGTTTTCTTTGTTTTCCTCCCACACACCTTAACTCTGTCAGTTATTTTGCTAGGTGTTTGGTTCCTCACAGGAAATCCAGTAGAACGCTGGCAGGTCACACCTGAGGCAGGCTGTTAGCTGGCTGAAACATCGTTCTTTTAGTTTTTTCACTTTCCTGCATACAAAGGAAACAAACAGTGAATAGCTAGAGGGCTTAGTCTTCTAAAAAAGTCTTTACACCATTTTCTACTAGGAAGATAACCAGGTAGATTGAGAGATTTCATTCATTCAGTCACACACATTTATACCACTGACACTTTATTCCACTGAGAGCATCTTGCTATACACATTTGTAGAACTGATTGCATTTATGGGATAGAAGCTTGACAGTTGATTCCCACAAAGCATTTTCAAAACTTCACATCAACACTTGTAAACAGAATTAGCAGTGTGGCCCCTTAACAACCAAATGCCTTTGCTTTTGCATTCTTACAGCATGGCGTCGCCTCCTTTTAGGCTGAATGCACTCCTGTCCATATGATGGCCATGGGAACCCTTTGGGGGCCATTTGGCTATTCTCCCTTTCCACTTCTTCAGAATCAGAGTCTTCTTGTTGCATCAAAGGAAAATGCTTGTCTGAATAAATGTCCTTCAGCTTGCCCTCAAAGAACACTTCCAGGCATCGTCCAGCCTCTGCAACCTCTGAATCTGGCTGCAAGGGAAGAAATAATAATCCAGTATCATTGTATGCCCATAACTCGCCAAGGCTAAAATAGCAGGTCTGCCTAGCCTCCTGCCTGAAACAGGAGCGTCCTGTATTTGGAACTTGTCTCCTACATCTTCGCTAGCCTCCTCTGCTCCTCCCATAGTCTGCCAAATCCCTCTGCACTTACACCATACATTTAATCCAGGTACTGCTATTAAGAGAAGCATTTTCTGCACCTATTAGAAAACGGATCTGCTATGGGCTACAGTAACTGAGAGCAGCATCCTCCAGTGCTTTGGAATCTGTTAGCTCTCCTCCCGCACACCTTAATTCTCCCAGTTACTTTGCTGGACGTTTGGATCCTTATAGTAAATCCAGTAGCACTCCAGCAGCTCACATCTCAGGCAGTCCATTAGCTGGCTGACACATTGGAGCTACAGGGATATAAAAACTAAAAGAACAGTCTCCAAACACATATTTCTGGCATTAACAAATCTATAGAGCTTCTCAGCGTTAAGGAGTCTCATCATCCACTCGATTAGACCAGTTTTATGCCAGTGTAACTCCAATGGAATCAATAATTACACCAGTGTAATAAAGTGGTGGATAAGACCCAAGATTTCTGTTTCACAGATTGATGGTGGTGTGTGCTGGTTTCTGCATAGCAGATACTTACATAATTGAACTTTGCACAGTTCCAGAACATGAGACGCACATCGGCTACCAGCTCCTCTGGTGCAGAATAGTGTGATTTGTCCTTCTTTTGGAGTTTTTTCCGCATGATTGACAGGTCCATGGGCTTTTTGATGATCTGGTAATAATGACGAGCCTGTGATAAAAAGAAAATGCACGGAGATTGCTGGGCATAACCTTTCTCAAAGTGGGAACCCAGTTAATTAATACTACTACTCTGGCTATATTGCCTTCCATCTGAAGATCTCAAACATCCCTGTGAGACAAATAAGTATTATTATTTCCATTCCACAAATAAGGAAAGTGAGTTACAGAATAACAGGAGTGATTCACCCATGGTTGAGGAAAAATCTGACTCCTACACGTAAAGATAATCTTCCTCATTCCTTAGTTAACAAATATGAGGCTGGATTAAACACATATCTGCTAGCAAGCCTGATCTTCAAACCACTGCACTGTGGTAACTGTTCTTCTGTTATTTCCAGTCTCTGGAGTTCCACCCCATTATAGCATGATACTCCTGTTGTCATTTAACCCTTATGGATACAGTAACATGTATAATACTGACAAAAAACCAGCATCTCCCCCAAATCAGCCTTAACAATAATGTTCTGAGACGACGTCACCTTGCAGTTTAGAAAAGCGTCTGGCACTGGCTACTGCTGAATACAGGATACTGGGATAGATGGTCTGACACAGCATGGCCATTCTTATGTTCTTAACAAATGTATCTAAAACTAATCAGGGCCTTTTAGGGGGCACAAACTGCGGGTTAAACCATAATAGACTGGCATTCTTATACTGCCTTTAAGCCAAAGCACCATTGTCAGGGCTCAGCCTGTAGTGGCTATAAAGTGTGTCACCACAGAATTTTTCTGATGCCAACCTCAGCTTCTTTGGTGGGTGCCAGATCTCTCTCTTCCCCTCTCATTTAATCTTCCCAAGAAGCACCTTCCTTGCTGGTAATGAGTTCCACAAGTGCTTGGTGATTTGCTTTGAGTTGCAATTTTTCCCTTCTATTATATTACTATATGGGTCATTCATCCTGCTTTTCTCTAATTTTCTCCTCCAAACTGCTTCATGCTGGGGTCCAGTATCATGATATTTACTGCTGTGTTCTCCTCAAACATACCCAGTAAATACTGGAGAGACAGTATGGTGCATGGATCAACGAGCAACGACTGTCTTAAGAGACAGACACCAGAGAATGGCATCAACTCTGTCATGCATCCAGTTACTCTTACTCCAGGTCACTCTTAGGTATGTTGACAGAATTCTATTTTTATATTTTTATAATTTTGACAGATTATCAGTGTTTATTTTTAAGCATTTATTTTTATCAATTTAAATTTTTACAGTTGTGTAAATTATGGGTTTTAAGCATTTTTTCTATTTCAATCTATTCAAATTTGCACAGTTTTGGGAAATTAAGGGTTGGGGGGGTCAGAGACAATAATTTAATGACAATAGACAGAGATTCAAAAAGTTAAAGCTTTATAATCGTTAAAACACAAACTGTCAACATCACATGTCAAAATATACAAAGCAAATACCCTTAATTCAAACTCTAATATATTCTCAAGCTGCATTTTTCTTACTTTGCCTACCTGTAAATTGTTGTTATTATAGATGGAAATATTTATTGTTGGTTTGTGTTTGTAAGGTGAAATTGATGTTTACCAACATTTACTGGTAAAAATTTAATCCTTCCAAACCTACTTGTATGGCAGGATGATATACTTCCACTGCACCACTGAGCTATCTTGCATTTTCTACATATCCAGTAAGTGGATTAGAGCTTGTGGGGGCCCTGAGCCAGAGCAGGTGGGGCCCCCCGCTTTCTGCCAGGCGGAGCAGGGCAAGCCCCCGTGCACCGTCCTCCCTCACAGGCAAGAGTTCCCGGTAGGCAGATGGAGCAAAACGGAGCACCGTGGCACCCATTTTTCCAGGGCCCCTGGGTACAGGCCCCATTGGCCCAGTGGCTAATCTGCCACTGCCAGTAAATCAATAGTCCTAACTTAATGTGACACCTCCCACCAACCTGGCATTTTGTAAGCATCTTACACTGAACACCCAAAAGTGCTATTAGAAAATTTGCTGGCATGTTGTATAGGTCATCAGTGTTCTGGTTTCTGATCTGGTACCTTAGTGGCACTGCACAAGAGGGAACACCTAACAGTAGGTGACGCCACTGTTTGGTTGGAATGTCAGTGATGATCCTTTGAGAAGACAAGAAGAGGTTGATTATTCTTTGGATTTTCTCCAAGTTCCCTGAGTAGGTAGCACTTACCAGTGGACTGACAGGCTCATGGAACGGAAGGCTCAGGCTACTGCAGAACAGGGCAAGCACCAACTTTTCACATTTCTGTAAAATCCAAAGTTAGAATCAATGCTGAGACTACTGGGAGTTGCTGCTGAGCCATGCACTCCTAGGCGCCAACTTCTCCTGGTGCCGGTGGGTGCTCGCGCCCCCTGGCCCTGCCCTGACTCCACCCCTGCCCCAAAGTCCCTGCCCCAACTCTGCCCCCATTGGACTGCTGACCCAAATTCCCGCCCACCTCTTCCCCGCCTCCTCCCCTGAGCACACCACGTTCCTGCTCCTCCCCCCTCCCTCCCACAGCTTGTTATGCCGTGAAACAGTTGTTTCGTGGTGGCAAGTGCTGGGAGCAGAAGTGTGGAAGGCGCACTCAGGGGAAGAGGTGTAGGTGAGCTGGGGCGGGGGGGGAGGCAGAGCACCCACGGAGTTAGCACCTATGCATGCACTTCTGAATACTGAAGGGTATGCTTCCTAACCCTGTGTATAATCAGCCTCATTTCATAACCAAGTACTTTAATACCACACACCATGATGATGATAACACTAGTTTTCTTCTGTTTCTTTTAAGATCCATATTATTTTGGATGTTTCTTTCTAAATAAATGTTTTATTGCATTATTAGACAGACTCTTGGGAAATCACCCCCCATCCCCCCTTCTGCACTCACTCCTTCCACACTCACACTTCTTTAAGTCACTGATTAAAAGAACAGCAACAACAGTAAAAACGATTTAGCTGAGAACATTTCACTGTCAGAGGCACCTGCTGTGATCTACATGAAGGTATATGTACAGAACATGAAAATGTGGCCTCCTTTTTAGCTTTTCTTTTTGCAAGTGCACAAAGGGCTACATCTGTGAATGAAGACTAGTGCTTACACACACACACAATTGTTTTGTGTGCACAAATGGGTACACTTACTCATCTCACACGTATATTTTCAAAGGCCCTTTGAAAATTTGGCTCTGGGTGTCTGCTAGTTGACATTAATTTATTGACCCTATTTCTTTAAGCATACAGAATCTAACAAACACATCAAATAATTTGATACTACTTAGAATTTTGCAAAAGATAAACTCTTTGCTGCTTCCTATTCTGTCTAATCCCTTTTATAAATCTTCTCAATGCATCCAAACACAGCCACAATTAAAAGAAATCTTTTCTTTAGAAAGCTCGCCACCAAGGACCAATTAACAGGAGGCAATCAGCACAAATCTCTGGCAGTAGTTGGCCAAATGTTCCATATTGATATAAATGCATACATAACTGGTGAAAGATGGTTAGTAGTACAATATGAAAAAAGCATACAGTTCATGGTAACTCGAGAAACATTTCTATCATCATTCTTTTGTTTTCTCAGTTGATGCCAGGAATTTTGCTCCAGAACGGTCAGTGAGCCATTACATTTCAGCTTTGTTCGGTAACCAACCAAGGGAAATCTTTGTAGTCCATTCCTTTTCCCTACAGAAACTTCACTGTTCAACTCCAAAAGATCTAAGCCCAGATATCACTGAGATGCACAAGCTCCGTCTTGTATTTGTGACTCTTGGTTCATGCTGCAAGGTGCTGAGTAGACTGGAGTTTACTGCGCAGGCTTTCAGAATAGAGTTATATTTCAAGGGGGATTTAACAGCTGAGGAGACTGGCAATGGGGAATTCTGTGTCTATATTTATTGGTATATATTTGTACCCACCTTCTGGTCAAGGTCATCAAGGCCATGCAGTGCTCTCTCCCCTTTGTTACAACGGCGGTAGCGTGTGTTTTCGCAGTCGTACTCCACCTCGGGCTTTGACAGGTTACGGCAGAGTGTACACACCCATTCTCCCCTGCAGCACAAGACAGCAAAACTTAATGTCTCTGAATTGAAAGGACAACTGATCCCTAATGGAAAGCTTTGGGAAACACGGTATTTAGAAAAAAGGAAAGGAGTACTTGTGGCACCTTAGAGACTAACAAATTTATTTGAGCATAAGCTTTTGTGAGCTACAGCAGTGAGCTCTGGAGCCACATGCGGCTCTTCAGAGGTTAATATGTGGCTCCTTGTATAGGCACCGACTCTGGGGCTGGAGCTACAGGCGTCAACTTTCCAATGTGCCAGGAGGGTGCTCACTGCTCAACCCCTGGCTCTGCCACAGACCCTGCCCCCCCTCCATCCCTTCCCATCCCCTCCCCTGAGTTTGCCATGCCCTCACTCCCCTCCCCCCCGAGCCTCCTGCATGCCACGAAACAGCTGATCGGGAGATGGGGGAGGGAGAGGGAGAGGGAGAAGCTGATTGGTGGGGCTGCCGGTGGGTGAGAGGTGTTGGGAGCAGGGGGGGAACCGATGGGGGGCTGCTGATGAATTACTGTGGCTCTTTGGCAATGTACATTGGTAAATTCTGGCTCCTTCTCAGGCTCAGGTTGGCCACCCCTGCTTTAGCAGGAGCCCACTGCTTTCAGTGGAACTCAGACAGATGCAACTTTTGCAGAATGCAGGCCTAAATATCTACCATTAAGAAAAGTTACAATGGCAGGCAAACAACATTGCCTCCCTCCTGCCCCTGAAAATGAACTAGCTACATTTAGGGACCAAATGTCTTCAACAGGGATGAATCTGAAGCTGGCCCAGCACGTTTATGTTATAGGGAAAGTTTGCTTTATATAATGTTTTACTTTATACAATGGTTTAACAATTTAGCTATTTCTAGCAACAACAACAAAATGAAATCTTGCTGGCTTGTGAGGAGAAAGGATTGTCAATACCCCTCAAACTAATACCCCACCTTTCAAGGGATTTCCGTCATTTTAGAGGCAAATTTATCTGAACTCCACACAAATGTGGTGTCCTTTGACTCTTCCTTTTGTAAATGACTTACAGCTGAAATTCAGAATCATGGAACTGTGGTTTATAGCTGTTGGCAGGTTGAGAGATATGAGAAGGACCCAGGGGCTAGTGCAGAAGCACTGGTTCTCTGTACAAAAGCCCCAGCCTTCCACAAATATCTTAATAGTCATAGGTCTGAAGTTGAGGTCATCCACATACTGTATTTAGAAGGCCTTGCTGACTGCCTGCCTGCCTGCGTGTGACGATCTCCCCCTAATGAAACTAGGAGGAAACTCTACAAAATGAAACTCACTGATTTTCCTGGTCTCTGTACTGTTTTTTACCCCAATAGGGGATAATCTGAATTTTACCACAGATTTTATACAAAATCTAAGGATTTAGTTGTCACACTTCAGTCATGTTTATAAAATTCAAGTCTGTCTCTCCATTATAGTGCTGGCTGACTGCTGGAGGAGATCATAGATATGGTTAATAATTCATCTGACTCCTGGTATGAGAGAGTGGGAAAATTTTTCTGCCTTTTGTAAAATGAACAAAAAAGGCAACACAGAGAGAGAACGTAAAAGAGCCCTTGTAACACTGACATATACGCCCCTCAGGCAGACTCAGAGGCAGAAAAAGGAGAGTGTTATATGTACTCACACTGGGAAGCTGAGCAGAGCTGGAACATGGCATGAGAGATGGAACACTTTGGGGCAGTGATCACAACACAACAGTTCTCCTCCATTCAGACAAACGGCACAGAAATCCTCATTCTCAATCGGATTGGCTTCCTGAGCGAGCAGAGATTTTTTCATGCTGGGAATGCCATTCCCATTGCTAAGCTTGTGATCAACAGGAGGGATATCTACAAAAGCAGATGGTGCCGGTCCTGCTGGGCGGCTGATGGGGAACTTCCTATCTTCATATGTGGGAATCGGTCCTTCAGGCAGACTATCTTGATTGACCTTGGGAGAAAGAAATCCAAAATAACAGAATCATCTTTTTCACAACTGATGCCCTAACTCCTATCTGAAATGGACTCTGCTGGATACAGCACTGGACTGGGACTCTGGTCTCTGCTACTGGCCTGCTAGGTGACCATGGTCAAGTCACTTCCCTTCCTGGCCTCAATGTCCCTATCTGTAAAACAGGGATAATGATACTGACCTCCATCATGAAGTGCCTGGAAAACTAAAGATGAAACGTACTATGTAAGAACCGGATATTATTAATTATTATTATTATTAAAAGTCTGTCACAGGAACCAGTTCCAGCTTAGATGTCAAGTCTATATTGTTTTTCATGACAACTAAATTCCATGCAGCATCCCTGGTGAATGCAAGTTTTAAAGGAAATGCACTTGTGTGTGTCAAAAAGGGACTAGTTCTGTTGCTCTCATCTACGTCAACGCCAAACCTCCACTGATTTCAATGGGAACTAGTTCAGGCCCAAAGCTATGTTGAGGAAGCAGAGGGTTCCTTTTAAAATACTATTAAATTGAACTTCAGTTCTAAAGCATAGGTCTGACAGGTCTTCGATTTGTTTTTAAGTGGTTCACCCTGTATGATGGATGGATCAAAGGGGCCAGTTACAACACCAATATACAACCACTGCTTTGTTGTCAAAGCCTGTCTGAAGTATTCTTGAAAGGGAAGTAACGGTGTGGCGGGAGATACTTTAAGAATACAGCTAACAAGTGCTGCAATAGTTATTAATCTTAGGGTTTTATACTGCTGCCCATCACCAAAGTGTCAAGAGTACCTTAGAACAGTAAAATCCATCAGCAGAGCAGTTCAGAGTATCACAAGAAGCCTAGCAAAGTCAGTGTGAGAAGAGAGAGAAAGCAAGCAAACAAACAACAATGCAAACCCAACTCACTTTTATAGCCATACTTGAAGACTGGGTACCACATTCAATTATCAGAAGGAAAGTCTCATCTTGGTCATCCTTCTGGGGCTGCAGTTTGAACACTGGAAGCTCCCCAGATTCTGATGCACATATTTTCAGGCGTTCCAATCGCACATAGGGGATCTTCAGCTCTTTAGTATAAGCTCTGAAATTATGATAAAATTCACTAGTATTGTACAAAGTCCTCTTCTCCTAATTTCAACATCTTTTCCATGTTACTCTTTGTTTGTTTGTTTTTTAAGGCAAAGCGTTAAAGCACATGCTCTAAAGGTGAAGTCAGTGGAATTTAAGCACACGCTGACATGCTTTGCTAAATAGGAACAGGACTCCTCACCTTTTTGAATTTCATCATGTGCTTAGCTACTTTGCTGAATTGGGGCCTAAATCTCTACCTATGATGTCTGCCCTCCTGCCTTTGTGCTTCAACTGCCCAAAGCCAGTTAGGGCTGACACTCTTCAGAGTTTCAGAGGAACAGCCGTGTTAGTCTGTATTCGCAAAAAGAAAAGGAGTACTTGTGGCACCTTAGAGACTAACCAATTTATTTGAGCATGAGCTTTCGTGAGCTACAGCTCACTTCATCAGATGTTTACCGTGGAAACTGCAGCAGACTTTATATACACACAGAGAATATGAAACAATACCTCCTCCCACCCCACTGTCCTGCTGGTAATAGCTTATCTAAAATGATCAACAGGTGGGCCATTTCCAGCACAAATCCAGGTTTTCTCACCCTCCACCCCCCCACACAAATTCACTCTCCTGCTGGTGCTAGCCCATCCAAAGTGACAACTCTTTACATAATCAAGTCGGGCTATTTCCTGCATAGATCAAGGTTTTCTCACATCCCCCCCACCCCCATACACACACAAACTCACTCTCCTGCTGGTAGTAGCTCATCTAAACTGACCACTCTCCAAGTTTAAATCCAAGTTAAACCAGAACATCTGGGGGGGGGGGTAGGAAAAAACAAGAGGAAACAGGCTACCTTGCATAATGACTTAGCCACTCCCAGTCTCTATTTAAGCCTAAATTAATAAAGGAAGATGATGTCTGTCTGTATCTGTACAAGTTTCTTCATGCAGTTGATAGATTTCCACTCCATACGGCTAAATGCAGGAGAGTGAATTTGTGTGGGGGGGTGGAGGGTGAGAAAACCTGGATTTGTGCTGGAAATGGCCCACCTGTTGATCATTTTAGATAAGCTATTACCAGCAGGACAGTGGGGTGGGAGGAGGTATTGTTTCATATTCTCTGTGTGTATATAAAGTCTGCTGCAGTTTCCACGGTAAACATCTGATGAAGTGAGCTGTAGCTCACGAAAGCTCATGCTCAAATAAATTGGTTAGTCTCTAAGGTGCCACAAGTACTCCTTTTCTTTTTACTCTTCAGAGTGCGACTGGCTTCAAGAAAGATCGCACTAGCCACGTCATTTCAAAATGAAAATATTCGGAAAACAATTTTTGGAAGCAAAATTATGCAAAAATGGCAAGATAATTTAGAATCATGCACTCCTTGTTCTGTTGTGTCTTTCTGGACTATACAGTATTTTTCATATATAATTTGGATTATGTGGCATTTCAGTAGTTAATGGTGCAGTCTATAAATATTGACATGTTCTGTATGCTCATAAAGCGTGTCACTGAAGATGTACAAATCCAACATTGCTTTGAAAATGTAGTTTTCAAGTTTATGAAAATGCTTTTTAAAATGGAAATCTGTCTGCCCTGAGCTGGGTTGATACCTCCAAATAATTTATACAGGTGAACAAAGTGCTATAAAATGGTAAGGACCCTTAGCTGTAAAATGTGTATGCGTATTTTTTATAAGAAACCGGAGCAGAATAATGTCGTATTTAAGGAGAATTAACTGATACTTGATTATAAATGAGACGGCTAAAATAAAAAAGAGCTTCGAGAAGGGTCTGGAAGCGTCTTTGTTTTTCTGTCAAGGTGATAACCTGCCTTCACTTGCAAGTGATCTTATTTAATCACCCACCCCTCCCTGACCCCATAAGCTGCTAGATCCCTACTACACACACTGCTAGTATTGCTGTGTTAAGTGTACATTCCACTGAAATTAGGAACACAAGAGGTGTTGTTTTGTTCATCAGTGATATGCAGGCCCAGATTCTCACCCATACCAGAGCTCTGTGCAACATAGCTGCAGAGGTGGAGAGGGTGGTGTGTGCAGTTGGAGCCACCTTTATGCTCCCCCAAGTCCCAGTATGGCTGGGGCCCATTTCACACCCCTTAAAGATACCAATGCAATTTCAAAAAGCCCTTGCAGATGCCTTCAAGCAACTGGAATATATGGCATTAGTCATGGTTGCTACTTTGTGTCTTCTGGAATTATTAGTTACAAGGCAACCTGTTTTCCTTTTAAAACAACCTGCCAATAACACTAAGCTGGATACACTCTGACTATTTTACTATGTGCATCAAATTTCATGGCCAGTACTTCTATGCAGAAAGTGATTCTTTTACCTGATGTTCTGATTACTTTTTACATCCATCTCAATATGTTCCTTTTCATAATTAATGGATTCTGGAACAGAAAAAGAAAATTAAGAAAATATCTATAATATCAGAGTCAGATTAGGGTAGAGAGGCACTTTAATATTCATGTAATGTGATGTGATATATTTGCAATCTGGAATAATTTCATATCTATCTAAGGTAATTACATGCCCGCCATCACTCACAGTACCTGGGCCCCTCACAAAACCTTACTGTCTTTGTCCTCGCAACACCTCTGTGTGGTAGAGAAACACTATTATCCCCATTTACAGATAGGGAACTGAGGCACTGAGTTAGGCACCTAAATACCTTTGAGGATCTGGGCCTAAATGACTTGCTCAAGATTGCACAGGATATTTGTGGTGGAGCAGGAATTGAATATGAATCTCCCACAGCCCATCCTTCCTCACACAGACAAGCACCATTTTTCTCCTCCCCATGTGGCACTGTGCATGTGTAATCCCCATTATAAAATGTAACTACACAGGATTAATTTGGGACAGGGGGCTCTATTCTACCGTTATTTACTGAAATAGGAACAGGATTGGGTCCATTATGAACCCTATCATTTTCCTCCTTAAATAGGACAATGTTAAAGAGAAAATAATCGGAATGCCACAGTTTTAAGCAGTCAACACAGAAGTGCAAGGTAAATGTTGCAGGAGCACTGCACTTGGATCAGATTGTGAGATGCCCTTGTATGGCCACGAAGGGGTGAGTATGACTGAACGTACCCGTGTCCATACCCTACATGCTGTTGTAATCATCTTTGTCCAAACTATGCTTTGTGAGGTATCATCTGAAAACTCAATTTGCTGATCAATAATGCCATGGCAAAAATATATGTTAGCAGCATGATATGTGAAGTGATGACCAAGCTGAAATCATGACTAAAAGTATGTTTTCCAGAGAAATCTGGGGCGTGATCAAACCAGTTCCTCAGAGACAAAGGGCAAGGTGACACCTCAGCAAGGCTGATGGACCATTACCTGCTCAGTGGCCATTCTTTGGCAGGAAAGGGGGCAAGGGCAAAAATCTACATCTTAGCAAAGAAACAGCATGGAGTTCCCTTCCACACAGACTGCCTGTCGCACTGCTCCCAGCAGGAAATGCTTCTCAAAGGGAGGACAGGACTACAAAAAGAAGAGACAGACCCCAAGACAACCCTCCTCTCTCTCTCTCTCTCTCTGTCCTTTGATTCACTGCACCAGCAGAAACAAAGGAAGCACCATTGAACTGGGGAAGGGGTCCTGGCCTATGAAGTGTGGTCAGTACGACTGTTGAGAGCATGTGGTGAGAAAAACTTTGCTTTGAATTTAACATAGTTTGTTAAGTTACGTGCCAGTTGCATTTTATCTTTATTGTTCTTGTAATCCTTTCTGACTTTCATACCTCATTACTTGTACTCAAAATCTATTTCTTTGTAGTTGTTAAGCTTATTTTATTGTTTCATCTAATCAAGTGTGTTTAAATTGAAGTGCCTGGAAACTCAACTTGGGATAATCGGGTGTGTGCATGTTATTTATATTAAAGAAATATGGACTTTATATGAATTTGTATGGTCTAGGAGAGAGCTGGGCAATACAAGACATACATTTCTGGGGGGAAATCTAAGATTGGGAGTGTATTGGGGCCACCCTGCAGTATAACCGAGGCTGGCAAGAGCCAAGGTTTGGCTGTCTGCAGTGCACACGCAGATATAGCTGGGAGTGACTTGCATGCTGCTGGAGGCATTTTATGAATAATCCAGACTGGAGGCTACAGCAGCAAAGCAGTATAAAGGGCACCCCAGGTTAGGGGGCAGGGGTGACACAACTGCTCATTATCTGGATTGTATCCTGGGTATGTCACAGTAAGCACGGAGCCTCCCATATCATGCAGCTGCAAAAGATCCTCCACAACAGCAATCGCTACATTCCAGGAAGTGCAGGGGCTGCTCGCTTCTGCTCGTTCCTGATGAGCAGGACAGAATAAAAGGGGGCAGGGAGGAGGCATGCTCAAGGCTCTGATCTTTACACCAGCCCGCAGACTGGGGCCAGAGCTCCAAGGGCAGCAATGGCACTTAGGCCAAGTCTACAGTACGTGGTTATTTTGGAATTAGCCAAATTAATTTGAAATAAAACTGATTCTGTTCACACGACCAAACCGTTTTTTTCGATTTAAAGGGCTCTTTAATCCGATTTCTGTACTCCACCTCGGCAAGTGGGGTAGCGCTAAAATTGAGATCACAGTTCCGGGTTACAGGTACTTTGGATGCAATTCGACGTTACTGGCCTCCGGGAGCTATCCCAGAATGCTCCCTTGTGACCGCTCTGTACAACACTCTCAACTCTGATGCACTCGCCAGGTAGGCAGTAAAAGACCCGGGAACTTTTGAATTTCATTTCATGTTTGGTCACCATCAGCACAGTCCACCATCACAGGTGACCGTGCAGAGTCCACCATCACAAGAGACCACGCAGTCCTGGATTCGCAGATGAGCTCCAGCATGGTCCGAACGGGAGGTAGTGGATCTCATCGCATGCTGGGGAGACGAATCTGTTATGGAGAACTATGTTCCAAAAAAAGAAACGCAAATACATACACTAAAGTCTCCAGAGCCATGACAGAAAGAGGCTACTCCAGGGACACAGAGCAGTGTCGTACAAAAATCAAGGAGCTCAGGCAAACATACCAAAAAGCCAGGGAGGTGAATGGGTGCTCTGGGTCACAGCCCCATATATGCCGCTTCTACCATGAGCTGCATGCAATTATGGGGGGTGATGCCACCACTATCCCACCACCTGCAAGGGGGCAGTTGCACCGAGTGAGGAGGATGAGTTGTTGGAGGCTGAAGAGGAGGAGGAGGGCAGTGCACAGGGGGCAAGTGGGGAATCCATTTTCCCCCCTAGCCAGGAACTATTCTTAACGCTGGACCCAATAGCCTCCCCCCACTCCCAATGTGGGCTCCCGGACCATGACCCTGGAGAAGGCACTTTTGGTGAGTGAGAGCCTGATCGGAGCCACGCGGTGTGGGGGGGAAACCCAGCCACGCTGGGCTGTTCGCGTTTAGTTTAAAGGGCTCATCCCTGCTCAGAGCCTCATTGGAGCCACACTGGGGGGGGGGGGTGGTTGTTGTGTGAAGCGATCATCCCAGAGAGTCTGCAGGCCCTCCTTTTATATGACAAACCCACGAGGCATTGCTTGCTATGGGAAAGGGGGCCTGGCAGTTTGAAAGCACTGAAATGAATGCAGAAGAAGCAGAACCCCGCGTACCCCTAGGGCTTACCATGGCTGCCTGTAAGCTGAATTCTGTTGCCAAGCCACGTGTGATGGCTTACTCACACCAAAGTGGCAGGCACTTCAGTATAAGAGGCAAAATGCAACCTTGTACAGAAAGAACATGTGCTGTGTACTATGAATTGCCTGTTTCATTGAGAAAGTGTCCCCTTTGTTCTCTAAAATGCATCTTTTAAAATACTACCCTCCCTTTTTCTCCTCCAACAGATGCAAATGTTTCAGCGCGGCCCCTATCTACTCCGTCCCAGAGGCTGGTCCAGATTAGAAGGGGGAAAAAAGGAACTCGGGACGACATGTTCGCCGAGCTCATGCAGTCCTCCCGCATTGAGAGGGACCTGCTGAATGCATGGAGGCAAACAATTGCGGAGACCCGTAAAGCGTTAAATGAACACAGAGAGGTGGGATGCACGCGATGAGAGCAGGCAGGATGCTATGGTCAAACTCATGGGGGAGCAAACTGACATGCTCCGCTGTATGGTGGATCTAATGCGGGAAAGGCAGCAAGACCACATACTGCCGCTGCAGCCCCTGTATAACCGCCCTCCCTCCTCCCCAAGTTCCATAGCCTCCTCACCCAGATGCCCAAGCACATGGAGGTGGGGGTGTGTGGAGGCTTCGGGGACTCACACACTCAACCCCAGAGGACTGCACAAGCAACAGAAAGCTGGCATATCCGAAATTTTGATTTGGTTTCTGGACTTGTCCTTCCCTCCTCCTCCACACCCCTCCCCCAATACCTCTCCCCCGCAGGTCTACCTTCTGATTTCTCTCAATGTGTTGTGCAACAAATAATAAAGAAAGGTTTATAAAACAACTGTGACTTTATTTCCTTTCATATATATAGGGGGCGGGTAACTTCAAGAGAAACAAACACAACTGTCACACTGTACCCTGGCCAGTCATGAAACTGGCTTTCAAAGCTTCTCTGATGCACAGCGCACCCTACTGCGCTCTTCTGTTGTCTGGCTGTGCGAAACTGGCAACCTCCTACCCCACCATAAATGTCTCCCCCTTACGCTCACAGATATTATGGAGCACACAACAAGCAACAATTACTATTGGAATACTGGTTGTGCTGAGATCTAACAGAGTCAGTAAACTGCACCAGCGTGCTTTCAAACATCCAAAAGCACATTCTACCACCATTCTGCACTTGCTCAGCCTATAGTTGAACTGCTCCTTATTACTGTCCATGGTGCCTGTGTACGGCTTCATGAACCATGGAATTAAGGGGTAGGCTGGGTCCCCGGCATTTCAACATCCCCAACAGTAATTTTCTGGTCTCAGAAGTAGGTCCCTTCCTGCAGCTTTTGAAACAGACCAAAGTTCCTGAAGATGCGAGCGTCATGCACCTTTCCTGGCCATCCCACGTTGATGTTGGTGAAATGTCCCTTGTGATCCACCAGTGCTTGCAGCACCATGGAAAAGTACACCTTGCGGTTTACGTACTGGCCGCCCCAGTGTGCCAAGGCCAAGATAGGGATATGTGTTCCGTCTATCACCCCGCCACAGTTAGGGAACCCCAGTGCATTAAAGCCATCCACAGAGGTCTGCACATTTCCCAAAGTCACTACCCTTGATAGCAGCTGGTCAATGATTGCGCTGGCTAGTTGCAGCACAGCAGCTCTCACAGTTGATTTGCCCACTCCAAACTGATTCCCGACTGACCGGTAACTTTGGGCGTTGCAAGCTTCCACAGGGCTATGGCCACTCGCTTCTCAACTGTGAGGGCTGCTCTCATTTTGGTGTCTTTGAGCTTCAGGGCAGGGGACAGCAAGTCACAAAATTCCATGAAAGTGGCCCTACACATACAAAAGTTTTGCAGCCACTGCGAATCATCCCATACCTGCAACACTATGCAGTCCCACCAGTCTGTGCTTGTTTCCCGGGCCCAGAATCAGCGTTCCATGGCATGAACCTGGCCCAACGCCACCATGATCTCCCAATCGCCACATGCTGTGCTTCTAGGAACGTCTGTGTCCATGTCGTCATCACTATCTTAATCACGCTGTCGTTGCTTCCTTGCCCGGTTTTGCAGGTACTGCACATACTGCTGGATAACGCGCGAGGTATTTACAATGGTCAAAACTGCAGCAGAGATCTGAGCGGGCTCCATGCTTGCCGTGCTATGACGCCTGCATCGGTAATCCTGGAAAAAGGGCGTGAAACGTAGGAGAGCAGCGTGGCAGCGGAAGAAGTGCTGTTCGGTTCACGATAGCCGAAAAAAGGCGGGAAATGGTTGTCTTTTGTAGCTTTCATGGAGGCGGGAGCCCAGGACAGACAACATGGAGAAACTCGGACGTGTGGCAAGAGCGGGAGAGCAGAGTTGGCGGCGGAAGCTGTGCTGTTCAGTTCACGATGGCCGAGAAGAGTTGGCAGTGGAAGCGGTCGATGAGGAAGAGAAAGAGTAGATACTTATAGAGATTACATAGAAAGAGGAGAGGAAATGCGAGATGGATTCATAGTACCAGGAGAGAAGTGGTGCACCATACTGCACTGTCTGCTGAAAGCAGTATGGCGCCTGCACGCCAAAAAGGTGCAAAACGATTATCTGCCGTAGTTTTCACAGCGGGAGGAGCAACGGACGACACACACCCAGAAACACTCGCAAGAATGTTTTTGCCCCATCATGCACTGGGAGCTTAACCCAGAATTCCAATGGGCAGCGGGGACTGCGAGAACTGTGGGATAGCTACCCCCAGTGCACTGCTCCGACATTCGATGCTAGCCTCGGTACTGTGGACGCACTCCGCCAAATTCACGCGCTTTAGTGGCAACGCACAAGACCGAATGTATAAAATCGCTTCCGAAAATTCGAATAGAATAATTTTGAAATAATTTTGTACGGTAGATGTACCCTCAGATTGTAGCTGCCTGACAAACAGTCTCTCCAGTGCTCCTTCTGGAGTGCTGCAGATCCTCACTACCCTTACAGAGTGTTGTGACATAACTGCCAGCACCTGGCTCAATACATGTAAGACTAATGAGTTCTCTCATTTCACTGTGGTGGAGCCCTCTGTGTATCAATTATAAGCTTCTGAGTACAACTACACTGCTCAGATAGTTAATATTAATTTAGCCATTATAGAGAAAAGCAGCCAAATGTTGGTATAAGTCACAGAATAATAGCTTGATCCTGCAATCCTCAGGACTTTAAAGTTTGCAGCATTGAGCCCTTACAATGTTGGCACTTTGCCTGTGAAAGCAGTTAGGCAAAATCTCATTCTCCATTAAGAATAGAGACGTAGTCCTTGGCTGAAAGGAATGTTCTGCAGTACAATAAGCCAAGAAAAAAAACCCACACTGTGCAATATATATTAACTTAACCAATATTTGCTGTGCTACCTAAGTGTAGCACTTTGTGGTAGTCACCTTACATTTCAGAAATAATTTTTTAAAAACGGAGAATGTGGACGATTCAAATCAGTTCTTCACTAGTGATCCCTTCAAGTCTCATTAACAGGAGATCTTCTAAGAGAACTAATCCTCTGAGCACACCCCTTGCAAGCTTTCATCCCTTTCTGATTCAGTGATGTCCTAGCTAGCAATTTGAGAGCTAGCAATTTGAGAGATGATATTTCCATGTTTTCCCTCTACAAATGAGCCTAAAAATTCCTTTCCACTGTGTTAGGTACTTGATAATGTTTTAAACAATGCTGGAGTAGTATGCAATACAATAAGATGAATTACATTTAGTTAAGTACAGAAATTACCACACTGTACTGCAAGGCCTGGAAGTATGGCAGTGTTGAGCTGCATGAGATTTTGTCATGAGTTGGGTTAAAATCCTTGTTGAGGTTGATACGTGTGAACTCATGCTTCAATTAACATAACTGGAAACATAAGCCCCACCTATGACATAAGTATGTGTGAACCTGTCCAGGAGCTTTGGGGCTGAGTCTTGTTTTTGGGCAGGGGTACGTGGGAGTAAGAGAGAACATATACAGAGGTTGGGGTCACAGACAAGACTGAGGCAGAGGAAAAGAGAGGCAAGAAAAAAAAAAACAAGCAGAATCCTGTGACCCTGGAAAAAGCGAGAGAGAGAGCTTTTTGGGTCGAGTATTGGCTAAAGGGGCTTGGGGGGCTGGTAAGCTAAGAAATTGCTCTATTCTGTTCTTGGCTCCTGCATTCAGAGAAACAGGACTTTGTACATTCCTCGTAAATAAACAAGATTGCATTAAATAATACCTGTCTACTACCAATTTCTACTCCCAACTGGAACACCCACTGAGCCCCAAACTTTGACTAGCCACTCGGAATAAAAACGGGCAACAGCAGTTTAAAAAACAAAAACAAAAAACAGACAAAGAAAAACCTGGTACCTTCTTCATTTCTAAGTTGTTTTACACTGGTCAACTGCAGGCAGGCAGCACTGCTGATGGGTGCAGAAGGAGAGGCACACTGTTGCGATTTCTTGACTGAAAGATTAATAGGCTCTTCTAGCATTTTTTGCATAGGAAGAGCTAATTCATTAATGGTGTTCGGTCCAGCAGTGGCTGAGTCATTTCCAAGAGGGTCATTCATGGTACTAAAATCTTCATTTTCCAGCTTGAGAGGAAAAAAGAGTAATTCAAAATTTACTGTTTACTTTTTTAAATTTCCACTCCAAGAAAATAACTCTAACAAGTCTTCAAATATCATTAGAGAAGCAGGATTTCTTTTTTCAAACAACCTTCAACCTACTGATTATGACAACAACAAGCATGATGAATTAAAGTGCATTCCTTAGCTATAAGGTAGCCAGATGTGTTAGTAATTCTTACCTTGCACTTAGTGTTCCCCAGGAGCACATCACCTGTTGCTAGGTTATCAGTAGTCCAAGGGTTCAGGTCATTTGTAGCTCTGTCTAATGCCAAGCTGTAGCTAGGCACAGATTCTGGCTGCACATCAGAGGCATGAAGCATGTTCTGGGATTGGTTGAGCGGTATAGTAGATACACCTTGCATCTGTGGATCAACTGACCTAGATAACCTTGTAGAAGACTGTTCCATTTCTAAAGGGTTTGAAAAGCCCACAATGTTCAGTGAAGCCGAACGCTGAAAAACAAATATGTTAATCAGCTTTTAAAACAGTAAAATGCTGCTGTTATTTCTAGAGAGCATGAGATGCTGCAACTCATAATGCCTAATGAAGCAGCCATGTCACAAGGGCTTTGAAAGTATCTATGTCATTTACCAAAAGGCTTTATAATTTCCATGATTAAAGCCAAAATCTGGAAAAGTAGATTCCTGAGACTCTTCCCTGCAAGCTACCAGACTCTCTCTCTTTTATCACTATAATGGGTCCTGATTTCTTACTCCTTATAATGAATGAGAAATCTAAGCACATGGAATATTGGACCAAATCTCTGATGTAATTCTGGTGATTTCAATGAAATTATACTAAAGACTATTTTCAGAGGAACAGCCGTGTTAGTCTGTATTCGCAAAAAGAAAAGGAGTACTTGTGGCACCTTAGAGACTAACCAATTTATTTGAGCATGAGCTTTCGTGAGCCACAGCTCACTGCAGCAGACTGCAGTTTCCACGGTACACATCTGATGAAGTGAGCTGTGGCTCACGAAAGCTCATGCTCAAATAAATTGGTTAGTCTCTAAGGTGCCACAAGTACTCCTTTTCTTTTTACTAAAGACTATGTAAGAAATGGACCTAATATAAGTGAGTGCAACTTTAATGACTTCAGTGATACGGAGCACATTACACCAAAGGATTAGTTTGGCCAATTGAGCTTAAAGCACCTGCTCTTTATAACATCAAACTGTAAATGGGAAAAATACACGTTACAAATATCAGAGACTGTTGAAGAAAGGATGCACCTGTCTAGTTATCAAAGAAAGGGGAGAAAAACTACCCATCCAAGCAAGGTCTCTGCAAGAATAATTTTAATGAAATGTATCTGCTAGCGTTTCGTGCTTTCTTGGGGCATTTCACTGTCAAACACAGAAATAAGGATATGCAAACCAAAGCAAATCCACTCATCTGTGTGACTTCTTTAAGCTGTTTTACAGCACTGTATGTGTGACATGATTGAAATCCTGACTCTTCTATAGTCCCTATCAAACGAATGTAAGTAGTCTTAAGAAGTAAGCAGATCTGCATTCTTTGAAGATGCTTCCACATTTAGTTTCTCACAGTTCAGTGATATTCATTATGCCGGAGAATTCACTGAATAAATCCTTTTAATTTAACTGCAATATCGTAAGTTTTACTTGTTATACAGAATGACAAAGACAGCCATTTGTTTTTTATATTTATTAACTATTATTAGTCCATTCTGAATTCTGATAACTTGTTCCAGTCAACAGGGCAATAATGAAGTAGCATTAAAAGACAGTTGTCCAGATTCCGCTCTCTGTACAATATTTGTATAAATTCTAGTATGGCACAGTACTGGGAATCAACAGCTGAGCAAGCACTCTGGTCACTTAAACACCAATTAAGTCTCCTTCAGGTGGACCTGCTGGGGCCTAATTAGTGGCTTAGAATGGGCTGGGGGAAGGACTAATGAGCAAATTGGTCCACTAACACAGGAGGTATAAGGCAGCAGAGGAAGGACATGCAGGGGAGAAAGATGCAGGCTAGCAGAGGTAGAAAGGATCTCTGGTAGAGATCCCTTCCCTCTCTCCTTTAGCAGAGATGGTGTATGGATAGTTAAGGTGGTGGGAATGTAAGGCAAATGTAAACAAATGTGCTGGGATATTTAACAACTGAAGGTCTCCAAGCCTGTGTATACTAAGCAAAAGACAGGAGTGGGATGGGTCACATCTGGCTAACTCCAATAAAGTCGGAAGAGGTATTTGAAAGTCTTACAATGCAGCCCAGGTACATGCTGAGAACAGAATCCAGCCCTATGACTTATTTTCACCTGCGCACGCAGTTTAATTTTCTTTTAACCACCCCGGACCTGATCCTACCGTGGGAGTTTTGCCTGAATAGGACTGCAGGATCAGGCTCCTATTAAACAAGATAAGACAACTGCATTTAAGATAGAAGGGACCTTATCTTCCCCAGCATTAGGGTAAGTTTATGTCACTCTGTCAGCACAAAAGTCCACTAGAGCTTAACCAGCCACAGCAAGATTTCCCTGTAGGGGGGAACCTCAGGTGAGATAGTGTCACTAGATCAGACTCTGTGCCACCATCCCTTCTTGTGGCTAGTGCAGAGAATGTGGCTTGGGAAAAGGGAGTGTGGCTGAGTTTTCCCTGCATCTCAGTTATCTGAGATGAAGGGAACACCCTCCACTTAAACCAGCCCTCAGGTTGTTCTAACTGGCACTTGAGGACCAGATCAAAGCTGCTCCAGGACTGAGGGAAAGCAATGGTGGCTGAAATCCATTTTTTTTGCATACACCCCTAAGCAAGCTAGTAGTGGAGTTGGGAGTAGAACCCAGATGTCCTCACTTTTTGTCTCCTGCTGTAACCAATATATACATCTTTCGTGAATATTACAACATTGTCATCATCTGTTCCACACTAAGGCCTCACTCTGCAAAGACCCATGCATGCTGTGCGTGAAATGGTTGCCCCACTGAAGTCAATGGGAGTTTTGCCATTAACTTCAATGGTGCCAGGATTTCATACTACCGCATTTGCTCCAATCCCTCCGACAGAGACAAACACCTACAAGATGTGTATCAAGCATTCTTACAACTACAATACCCACCTGCTGAAGTGAAAAAACAGATTGACAGAGCCAGAAGAGTACCCAGAAGTTACCTACTACAGGACAGGCCCAACAAAGAAAATAACAGAACGCCACTAGCGGTCACCTTCAGCTCCCAACTAAAATCTCTCCAGCACATCATCAAAGATCTACAACCTAGCTTGAAAAAGATCCCCCTCTCATACAGAACCTGGGAGACGGACCAATCCTTGCTTACAGACAGCCCCCCAACCTGAAGCAAATACTCTCCAGCAACCACACCACAAAAACACTAACCCAGGAACCTATCCTTGCAACAAAGCCCGATGCCAACTCTGTCCACATATTTATTCAAGTGACACCATCATAGGACCTAATCACATTAGCTACGCCATCAGGGGCTCGTTCACCTGCACATCTACCAATGTGATATATGCCATCATGTGCCAGCAATGCCCCTCTGCCATGTACATTGGCCAAACCGGTCAGTCTCTACGCAAAAGAATAAATGGACACAAATCTGACATCAGGAATCATAACATTCAAAAACTGGTAGGAGAACACTTCAACCTCTGGCCACTCAGTAAAAGACTTAAGGGTGGCAATTCTGCAACAGAAAAGCTTCAAAAACAGACTCCAATGAGAAACTGCTGAGCTTGAATTAATATGCAAACTAGATACCATTAACTTGGGTTTGAACAGAGACTGGGAGTGGCTGGGTCATTACACATATTGAATCTTTGTTAAGTATCCTCACACCTTCTTGTGAGCTGTTTAAATAGGCCATCTTGACTATCACTACAAAAGTTTTTTTTTCTCCTGCTAATAATAGCTCATCTTAATTAATTAGTCTCTTACAGTTTGTATGGCAACTTCCACCTTCTCTGTATGTATATATCCTCTTACTATATGTTCCATTCTATGCATCCAATGAAGTGGGCTGTAGCCTATGAAAGCTTATGTTCTAATAAATTTGTAGTCTCTAAGGTGCCACAAGTACTCCTGTTCTTTTTGCAGATACAGACCAACACGGCTGCTACTCTGAATCCTGTGAGTTGTCATGCTGTAGACAATTGGACTACTCACAGCGCATATAGTTAGAAATATGCATAGGTCTTTACAAGATGAAGGTCTGAAGTATTTACAATGAACATTTCTAGAGAGCTGAAATTCAACAGTTATATACTCTGCCAGCTACAGTAGGTTTCGTGAGGAAACTTTTTACATTGTATAAGCCAGTATAAAACATTACTCTTGCTAAAAAGGAAAAAGAATAATGAGGCCATCAAACTGCCATCTGTCTTTCCCTGGTGGCAGGAGTTAATTTTTGTGGTTATTTTAACGATGAGGTAACATTATGATCTTTCAGTGCAAAATATTAAAACTCACAGTAAAGAACAGACACATTCCATTCTGATCCATGGAGCTGCTGTCAAGTGTGAAGCGAACAATGCACTGGGAACAAGGCTCATTAATATCCTATTAATTCACTCCCTAAAATAATCATTTCTTTTGCCATTAGCAAAAAATCTCTCATTTCCCTTGGCAGTTCAGCTAGGGTTTGAAAATGTGATGGCTTCAAAGAACAGACCTTTGTTTTATGAAAGCACTATTGCTTTTACATTGCACCCTTTGAACACCACCAAGCATTAACTATCCTCCTGGGTAAATGGTGGTTTCAGGTGTAGGAAAATCTTTAGGGTTTAACCTTTTAATGCACAGCTTGGCACACACAAATAAACCTGTGTCATTGCAAATGGAATTTGGGTTATCTAATAATGAAATTTGGTCTGATGACCTTTGTCACATAATGGCTGTATCCAAATTTCAATTATCCAAACATACTTTCTGCCCAAAATTTCATACCAATGGTAGTTTAAGGTAAGAATAAATAACATGCAAAGTAACGGTGACTAAAAAGTAATACATTATTTAAATATGTCTTTGATCACAGTAGCATTCCAAGAAGGTCCTATGCAAACATGCAGCACTAACACAGAAGGATTCTGAGATGCAAATACTTACCTTGAAAGACTGGGGTTAGGATTTGTTAGGATTGTTTTGGCAAAGTCTCAAGGCTGTTGACATTAAGTGTGATTTATAAAGAAGGCTAAAACTATGAACTGCCAATTCTCTTTGCTACAAGAGAAATAACAGAGCAAACGGTTGCAGAGTAATGAACGACTGCTATTAAGTGGAGCAATCCCCATGGCAGCTCATTATGCTAGTGAGGTTAAACAAATGCACTGCTCCAATCCAGTTGTTTAACTCGCCACTCACAGTAGCACTGATAAAACAGTCTATATACATGCTTCCTATTCGTATTTCACAATTATAGGGTATAATCCAAAGGATCTCCTTTACCTCCTATAAGAAAAAATCCAAATCTTTCTTAA